CCCCCCCACTTTCCTCTTCATTTGTGTGTGCTTTTTTTTTGTTTTGTTGTTTTTTTTCGCTCCTAGCTTGTGCTGTCTACTCGGAGAAGCTCCAATGTATAGTATGATGGAAACCGAGCTGAAGCCGGCAGCTTCCCAGTCCAACACGGGTACACTCGGCAGCTCCGCTCCGGGGAACAACAGCAAGAATCCGGGAGCGAACCCAGACCGCGTGAAAAGGCCCATGAACGCGTTCATGGTGTGGTCCCGGGGCCAGAGGAGGAAGATGGCTCAGGAAAACCCGAAGATGCACAACTCTGAGATTAGTAAGAGACTCGGAGCCGACTGGAAACTTCTGTCTGATTCCGAGAAGCGGCCGTTCATTGACGAAGCCAAGAGGCTCCGGGCTTTGCACATGAAGGAACACCCGGATTACAAATACAGACCGCGGCGGAAAACCAAAACCCTCATCAAAAAGGACAAATACTCCCTCCCCGGCGGGCTGCTCTCTCCGGGGGCAGTGCCCGTGAATAGCAGCGTGGGAGCAAGCCCGAGAATGGAGAGCTACTCTCACATGAACGGCTGGGCCAACGGGACGTACCCGCTCATGCAGGACCAGTTGGCTTATTCCCAACATCCAGGGATCAACAGCCCCCAGATCCAGCAGATGCACCGCTACGAGATGGCCAGCCTGCAGTACAGCCCCATGATGTCCAGCGCCCAGAGCTACATGAACGCCGCCTCTACCTACAGCATGTCCCCGGCTTACGGGCAACAGAATTCATTGAGCTCCATGGTGAAAACAGAGCCGACCACCCCTCCCCCGCTCACGTCCCACTCCCGGGGAGCCTGCCTGGGGGATCTCCGGGACATGATTAGTATGTATCTCCCTCCAGGAGGAGATACAGGAGACCCGTCCGCTCAGAGCAGCAGACTGCACAGTGTTCACCAACACTATCAGAATACAGCTATACCCGGCACAGGGGTGAGTGGAACAGTACCCCTAACTCACATCTAAGCAAAGCGACATTTAATAAACACACGCACACAAACAACCCAAACTCGGCCCGATTTGTACAGACATTTAAGCGGCATGTTATTCCACCCTGTCCCCGATCAGATTGAAAATGTTGTGGTTTGTGTGTGTGTGCGTATGTGTGTGTGTATGTGTGAGTGAGAGAGAGAGAAAGATCTCTATCTGAAGGACGCTGTCCGCGGCATAACAACCTTTTAAAGAATCTTTTTTAAGAAATTGGTTTCTGAATGCTGAAGTTTCTCCTCTTCTCTCTCCAGTTGAGACAATCAACGTTTCTACACGGGCGAGACTCCTTTTAGATGCCGAATTTTATATTAAAGCCTTTTTTGGGACTTCTAATGCCATCAGATTTGCAGGCAGCGGAACTGCGAGGGGAAGGGGGGGTGGGGAAGAGTTTGGAAAATGTTTACCTAATTCCTTGTATCTGTAAATAACTTTTAATGTGTCATTCAGCTTGTTTCAAAACCATGCGGAAAAATTATACCATTTTTGTAGGGTTTGTTTTTAACCTGTTTGGCCCTCTCCCTTGATTTTTTTTTAGGTTTTAAGAGTGCGGGTCGCAACGCAAGAGTTTTAATTTATAGTATTTTGTGTTACATCTTTTCTGACGCTTGTGAACGTTTTAAGCTGTATCTAGACCCTACTCCCGGTTTCTGGGATTTGTGTTTTTAAATGGTGGCAGTATCTACCATGTCGATTGAGTAACTATATATTGAGCAGATGTTCTAGTTTACTAATAAGTTTTCTTTATAATTAAAAAAAATCTCCGGCTCTTGTTCCTGAACTGAGGTTGAATAAATTTTGGTTTTTTTACAAAGAAAAAGACACGCGGCCCGGATTATTGTATTGGAACTGCTGGTGATTCTTTCTGAAGCGATGAATATTTTATGCCTTAAAAGTAATCAGGCGGATCTTTTATTAAAAAAAACAGAAATTTCTGCAGACTTTTAACTTAAAGGAGCGATGGGGAAAACAATGTTAAGATTTAGATTTGGAATTTTGTTCCTGGATGGCGGGCTGCGCGCTCCATTTAAAACCACTGACTGTTGAAAGACATAGTTAAAATTTCCTTATTCTTCGAGATTGAAGGTGCAATTCTGTCATCCCGACAACGCCCCCCCTTTCCTGTCGCTGATAACGAACTGATAACGAGCGCTAACAAGTGACAATCGGTTGCAATTGTGCCTCGCTTAGCAGCTGGTTTAGTTAGACGAATTAAAAATCATACAATTCAACTCTAGCTAGCCTTTGTTAATTTGTTCTTTAAACAATTTGTTAGGGTCGGATTTAAAGCTCGATTTGAAACCGTTGAAACACTTCAAATTACCAGAAGGCACCCAGCCTCGAAATACGGATTGTCTGTAACCCCCAGTTTAAACTCGCTCAACCCAGAAAGAGTGCAACAAGTGGTTTCACTTTTTAAAAAAAAAAATCTCACTGAGCCCGACTTATCTTTTTCAATTTGTCTCTCAAACGAACATTCTCGGTAATCATTCGCTCCAGTTTCTCGTGGGGAGTGCCATTTAGACCAAGAGCTTTTTTGCAATTTATTGATTAGTGTAACTTGCACTGAAGTCTGAGCTTTGTGTGCGTGTTGTGTGTGTGTGTAAAACCGCAGAAATCATGGACCGTGCTCTTGTCTCTTTATCAGAGTACAGGTTATTCTGCCCCCACCTTTCCTCCCTGAATTCACAGACTCTCATCCTCTCTGCCTGGGCTTTCGGAGCAGCGTCAGGCATTCCCATCCTCACAAAAAAGCAAGTCATTTTGTTCTCCCTCTGCAAACGCTACCTGTACCCCGTAGGTTTCTGGCCTTGTCGAGCGCATCCTTTAATCTCAAAGCCTGTCCTTTCTCATTCGGTCTGAATAAGAGAATACTTGTTCTCTTGACTCTTACTCGAGGAGTGCAAATGGCCGGGACTCTGGAGGTGGGCATGATATTAATTGTAGCTGGGACCAATTTTTTTTTAAAAAGAAGTTGATCACGAACTGCATTTCATTTCAAGAACTGATTTCAATAAGTGAAATTAATTTCTCTATTTGAAATAGTTTATAAAAAGAATGCATCATGCCTTTATCACTCCCGAAGTATTTTTAATCTTTTAGCTAGCTTTAAAATGGGTGGTAATTCGATGCACAGACCTTTTTAGAACTAGAATTGGGATGCTCTTCTAACTTCCCCCAGAAGCTCTGAGGAGATTTACCTGCCCGTTATATTTCATACCCATTCCTGTTTTCATTTTTTTTACCGTTTTCACACAGAGAACATCTTGTTTTGTTTTTGCTACATGCCGGAGATTTTGGATATTTTGTGATACTGCCCTTTTCACGAGGCCGCTTCGCGTGCAAGTAAAACTGACAAAACTTGTGGAATGTCCATTCAAGCTCATTATATTAACGGCAGCGCTTTAACCGCAGGAGTTGGTTAGTTGTGGAAACAATAACTATTTTTCTTGGCTAAAGAAAAAAACCATTAGCTCTGACGTTGCCCCACTATCTCTACAACAGAACACAAAAAAACCGACACAAGCTAATGAAGAGACAAACGCTAATTAAACTGGGAGCATCCAGGATGGTTATTTTGATTGTGGGAGGTTATAGCGAGTGTAAAGTTTAAATTGGCGGCATTCTTGAAGAAACATTTTAAGGGGATGTGTCTTGTTTTGGAGCTGACAATTACATGTGTTAACTGAGATCGAAGCTGTAATGTGATGTTTTGACTTTTCGTTGTAGTTTTATTTAAGAAAATCCCCATCCTTCCCTCCCTTCCCCCTCAAAAAATAAATAGAAATTGGTGAATTATTCCACAGCACATGCGCGACTTTGTTTTAGAATGTAGTGAATACTGTGAATGTTGCAAACAGTTTCCGGCCTACTTTTTTTCTCCCTCGACCCTCGTTTTATTAATAAGTTGTACCGGCCGAGATTTTCAATGAATTTTGAGCCCCAAAGAATTGTCCTAAAGCTTAGCCGGAGGATACAGTCTGGAATGTTGCACGGTGATTGGGAGATGAGACAAGAGTTAAGTTAATCTCTTCATTCCACCTGATACTGGCGAGCAGTGAAACTTTCGGAGGGTCGACTTACCCCGGCAATGCCTAGATACTTCTGAGTGAATTTGCGCACCAACAATCAGGCAGTGTCAATACCGCGCAAAAATTTCCTTTAAAAAAAAAAGACCTTTTGGTTTGCAACCTGCTCAGCCTCCTGAGACTTTAGGAGATGGACGCTGGTTTTAAAAACCTGCAGGTTAACGTTCGCTCCTGCTGTAGTCCTGTAAGTAATTTCCCAGAGCAAGCAAAAGACTAATTCCTGTTGGAATATTTGAACGGGGAATTTTTGTTCCTAACGGGCCGGTGGAACCCATGCCCATAACAGGATTACTGATACGCTAATGGTTTGTGGAGAAGGTTTTTCTTTAATGCTATAAGCAGCATTATTTAACAGATACGTTACAATCTCCGCGTTTAAAAGGAGAGTGTGAGTCTCGTTGCAGAAATGACCACTTGTAGATTGGCTCCTCTCTAAGGAACAGCTGGGAATCTGTATCTCTCAGCCGATTTCCCAACTGACACATTCATTCAGTTTTCCTGTTTTTGGGAGTGTTTGAGGGCCATCACCCTGAGCCACGGTATACCGCTTCTCCCTCCGCCCGATTTTAATCGCGGAACTCCTGCGAAATTAACAGTATTTGTCAATCTGGTAAAACACTTTCTTTTACAAAAAAGAGGGATAACGTCCAGGGATATGGAGGGGGGGGGAAGGGGGAAAAAAACAGGAGAAATACTCGGCAGGTCTGTGGAGACAGAGGGAGGGAGAACGGATTTGTTGGAGTCCAGCGGAAGATTCATAACAGGTTCTGAAACAAAAGGGTCGAACTCCGAATGCTGGAAAACCCGCCACTGTAGTTCAGTAATAAATCCTTATCAGACTCGAGACGTTAACTCTGTTTCCTCTCTCTCCACAGATGCTGCCCGACCTGCTGAGTTTCTCCAGCACGTTTTTTATTGGTTTTATACAGAGCCTTTCCGTCAGCAGGCACTGTCAGATCTCCCTGAGGCAGCTGCTGTGCTGTTATTTGCCCTATTGATGGGAGCACGTTACACATTTTGTTCGTTAATTTTGGACTTAATCTTCCCTGTGGATCTCGTGAACACGAGAAACGAGCACGGGTGAGATTTAAAATCGTTACACGGCTCGTTTGCAGCTCTACTTTTGGAGTTTTGACTTCATTCACCGCTCTGTCGAAAATTAGCCACCATCCCCTTAATATCATTTTCACCGTTCGCCTGAGTTGCTGGATTTGTTTAAACGCGGATATATGACCCCCACCCTCTAAATATCCTTTCCTTAGGGAATGTTTCACGGTAATTTTAAACTGTTAGACAAAAGCTTTCAAATGGCCTATAACTTTTCTCCCGTCGTTGTAAGTCTGAAAAGAAAACGGCTGATTACTATCCTTGCTTAGCGCGGTGTGTTGCAGTTCCACCTTTAAGGTACCTGTCCTACCACCCCTCAAAAAGACCTCCGTCGGGTGTACAAAGGACTGGGATCTCCGCACATTAGCAAAAGGCGCAGTGAAGTGAGTGTCCTTCTAGTCATAAATCAGTCCGCCCGCACTTCGGTCTCTCCCAAACAAACATATTGCAACTGCTTAACACTGAAATTATACTCGGCACTCATTTTCATTGGACTCCAGGGGCTTGACCACTGATTGTATTTTTGGTTTAAGGTGTTTAATTTGGAGGGAAGGGTGGTCTTATTTTGTGTGTGGGGGTGGGGGGTGGGTAGTAAATTGGATATGATGTAAAATTAGGAGAATTTAGTTCATTCCCAGCAGATCAAATCTTCAAATTAAACAGTAAGAAATTGACACGGTCTGTAGCGGTTGTGATGTCTTTAGTAATCCTTTCCTCCACCGCACACTGAGATTAAATTTTGCTATTTAAATAAAAGGATTTTGCTTAGGTTTGAAAAACAAAATAAAACGGAATTTTACAAACTGAATTGGACGGGAAATTTAACGGCCCTGCGTGAACAGAGGTTTGTAGAGAAACCCGCCACGGGTTATCCATAGCCACATCTATCCGAACCACTTTGCGACATCGTTATACAGGAATTTCTGCGCGTTTATGGTCCGCAGAAAGTTCTACTTGGCAACACGTTGCAGCGCGCTCCATTCGCAGTCTTTAGAGAAAGTCCTGGTGTAGAGGTGCTGGTGCTGGACTGGGGTGGACAAGGTCAGAGATTACACCACAGCAGGTTATAATCCCAACAGGTCTATTAGAAATCACAAGCTTTCGGAGCAACACTGATGTCGTGTGACTTCTGACTTTGCAGGAGGGAGCGATGCACAGAAATCA